CCATCAACCATGCATGTGAAGGGGAATGGTAGGTAAATGCTATAGCATGAACTATGTAAAAAGTAGATATGGTGATTAGTATATTCGTATTGTGCAAATTATTAAAATTCATATCTTTATATCATATTTTACATGAAAATTACATGTTATAATTTGTGTCGATACAAATATATAAAATATAATTTTTTATTGTTAAATTCATATATAATTATTGTTATAATTTTAAATCATATCATTTTGATATTTTATTTTCATATCATATTCATATTGTATTATTGTATTGTGTTTTAAATTATCAAATCTAGTATGAAAGTAGCTTAATTCATGTCTAAGCAAACCTGTTGGGCTAAAAAAGTTGAGTTTGAACCTACTAAAAGTACAGGGTCTCGCTTCTTATCATCTGCCAAGCTCAGATATTCAACAAGTTTGACAACTAATTTTTATCAAGATTAATACTTTTTTTTTGGAAGAATTGTTAAGATTAATACTAAAAACATCACACATCAATTAAAAAGTTCACATTTCATTAGGTGAAATGGTAATCAAATGTTTAGTGCTTGGCTCACGTGCCCTTTTTTTTTTTTTTCATAAAATCAATTTATTGGAATGTATAACGTTAATATTTATATATTTAATGGTTTTTATTTTTTTATCTGAAATGAGATTGAAGTATTTTATCTACTTTTTTAAAATATTCGGTATGACATTCTCCTTTGTTCAATCTCGTAACACACTCATTAAGGTTTTTTTTTTTTTGAATATTCAATATGATCAAATTTTGTCATTGTGTCTTTTTTGATATCTTGTTAAATGGGCAAATTAATCTATTCTATTTTTTTTTTAAGACGCTTGATGTGAAATTGAATGAGTCAAAAGTTGACTCTATATCATTTATTATATAATTATTATTATTTTTATTTAAATGTCAAAACTTATATATTTAATGATCATTTTTATTTTTTATTTGATGTAAAATTAAAACATTTTGCAAACTCTTTTAATGCACTTGACGTGACACTTAGAAATTTTTGCAATTTCAAACTTGGAATTCAAGTTACATAGGTGAGTTATATAGGTGATTTTGGGACTTCTCTTATAGAAAATCAATAAAAACTAGTAATTATACTACTTAATACTAGTTTAGTGCTTAAGATTAAAACTTATTAATCTGATCCAATTCGACTCATTGGCAACTCTGCTACTTATTAATATTTGATTATTTTTCAACAAAATATAAATAAAACCCATAATACAAAATTACAAAAATTTCACCTAAAATTCCCAAAAATACAGAAACAATTTTGCAAAGTAAGGACCTAGGGAAAGAGTGATACAGGAAAGAAACACGTAGTTTTGAGAGAAACCGAACAGAAAAGAGTAGGAAAAGAAACATAGAGTAGATCGCCAGATTCAACAGAAGAAAACATAAAAGATTAACACTCTTTCATAGTTTCTTCAACTTGTTTTCCTCTCCTTAATCCTTCATTTCCTCATTACCACTCATCTTTTCCTTCTCTCATTTCTTTCCATTCCTTTACCTGTTTCCATGGCTCCTGCCTTTGAACAAGTCCCAGTCCCACAAGAGGCTGACAGTGGAGTTGAAACTGCAACACCCCATAACACTGACGTTGGAAACAAGGGTGGTAACAATGGTTAGGTTGGGTATAAATCAAGTGTCACTGTTGTTGGTAGTGGCAATTGGGGCAGTGTTGCTACTAAACTCATTGCTTCTAACACTCTCAAGCTCAACTTTTTTCATGGTAAGTGCTCATCAATTTATTCTCTCTCTCTCTCTCTTTGGTTGCATGCAATGATAGAATGGTTGTTACTTTATATAACTTGTTTTTTAGATGATTTAAAAACTGAAGACAAGAGAAAGCTGTTAAATTGTGAAATCATACGGTTGAATGATGAAAATTTTACTAAACTATGTTTTAAAAGTATTGAGATTGATAATATTAATTGGAAGTTTAAGACTTTGGATAATTTGGAATCGAATTTGAATTTCTTCTAATGAAAATTCGATGAAGTAAGGATGTGGGTATTTGAGGAGACATTGCAAAGTGGTGAGAAGCTTACAGATGTCATTAACAGAACTAATGTGAGCAGTTAAAGACATTCATTTGCAATTCATTTGTATACTTGAAAATTTCTCAACTTGTAACTGCACTTGTTTTCTTTCACAGGACAATGTTAAGTACCTCCCTGGTATTAAGCTTGGTAAAAATGTCATTGCAGATCCACACCTCGACAATGCAGATAGTTTATTTTCCTATTTGTTTTTAGATTTTCATTTTTTTTAGTAGATTTAGATTTTTTTAGTGCTTGTATTAAGGGCTATGTTGTTAAAGTGGATTATCTCATATCTAATAAATTTTTAATATCTTGTAGTCTTATATTCAGATTGGACTTATTCACTTATTGTCAATTGATTTTAAATTAGATGCTTAACATAGTATCAAAGTCATGACTTTCTTTCTATTGCCTTTCTTAATTTATCACGTGAAAGATTTCTTCCATCTTTACCTACCCATGATGGGGGCTGTTAAGTTGGATGTTTAACAAATGTGTCCTCCTTGTTTATGGTCACAATGGAAATTATACAGTTAAAGATGCAAACATGTTATTTTTTGTGACCTCTCATCAATTTGTGGAGGGTATATTCAAGAGCCTTGTTGGTAAAGTGAGGGGAGATGCTAAGGCTATTTCCCTTCTTAAAGGAATGGAGGTCAAGGTGGAAGGCCCTTGCATGATCTCCACACATATTTTCAAGCAGCTTGGCATCAATTGTTCTGTTCTGATGGAGGCAAATATTGCAAATGAGGTAATCAGCTGATTTTACTTGAGAAATTCACATACAACTTCATTTTGCCATTGGTTTAGTTAAAATGTAATTGGTTGAGTCTGCAGATTGCTTTGGAGAAGTTCAGTGAAGCAACAGTTGGGTACAAAGACGATAGAAGGATTGCAGAACAATAGGTTCAATTATTTGGTACCCCTTATTTTGTGGTCACTGCTGTAAGTACTATTGATGTGGTTTTTCTTTCAAGTTTCAGTTAACATCAAATTTATGGATCCATTTACAGTTACAACTAGTCTAGCTCATAAGTATAAGTCTTAACAGTCGGATAGAGTGCTATGACGAATGATTTGATAGGGAAAAAGCATAAATGAACAAACGGTGATGCATTTTTAAAAAATGTTACTGCTTTTTGTGTTCATGAACAAATAGGTCCAAGATGTGGAAGGGGTTGAACTATGCGGCACTTTAAAGAATGTTTTGGCCATAGCAGCTGGTATGTTGCGTGTTGCGATTCAATTAATCTATATCTACGGATGAGAAATAAGATCTACTAGTTGTAGAGAATTATAAACGTATATCAAAACATATCAACCATTCAACAATCATGCCCATAGACCCTCTCAATCTCCACTAATCCTATGGAGTATTCTCAACCCAAACAAATATATACCCATGTGCACCCTTTCAACACAACTAAATACATACCCATATGCACCAACATATCACATCTATGTGGATCTTCTCAGTCTCTTATAGTCCACTCACAAACAAACATATACACCCATAAAACATAAAGCCTCAGTACTCCTATGGGATATTTATTTCATAAAACTCTACAACTCTCTTACATCTTTTTCTCATACCCAACTCTGTAGATACTTCACCTATTTATAACCATATAAACTTGCATACTAAGAATCTATTTTCTTTTAAAATTATTCTCTTACAAGTCAAACTTGCCTATTAAGAATCTCTTTTCCTCTTAAAATTTTTTTTTGTAAGTCAAACTTGTCTATTAAAAATCTTCTTTCTTTTAAAATTCTTTTTTTACAAGTCTTCTTGTCTATCAAGTAATATCTGGCCAATCCAAAAAAAAATCTCTAACAAATCTCAAACAGATCTTTTATGGGATTTAAGTTATTATTCCTAACAATCTCCACTTTGACTCAAATTCCATCAATCATCTATCTTTATGCGAGACATGCTTGGCTCCACCTGCAATAGAAGTCTCATAGTCATCTTCTCTTATGTGTCTTCATACTTCATACAAACTAATCCCCGATCTTCAATCCTCAAAACTTGAACTCGAACTCTTCTCTTGAATCGAGCTCCGTTGGACTTACCATTTTTCATGTCTCTAACCATGCTCTTCCCACGTCTTGAATCTTTAGCTCTTCTCACATCTCGAATCTTTGGCTCTGATACCACTTGTTAGACCAAAAGGCCTCAATCTAATCACATCAGTGGAAGCCTAATCAAACAATGAATGGAACACATAAGAGACAATAATTTAACGTGGTTCGATCTAACTGATCTAAGTGAGAAACAAGATCCACTAGTTGTAGAGAATTATAAACATACATCAAAACATATCAACCACTCAACAATCAATAGCCATAGACCCTTTCAATCTCTACTAGTTCTATGGAGTATTCTCAACCCAAACAAACACATACTCATGTGCACCCTTTTAACACAACCAAACACATATCCATATGCACCCACACATCACATCTATGTGGATCCTCTCAGTCTCTTTTAGTCCACTCACAAACAAACATACACATCCAGATATAGAGTCCTAGTACTCTTATAGGGTGTTTATCCCATAAAACCCTATAACTCTCTTACATCTTTTTTTCATACCCAACTCTGTAGAGACTTCACGTATTTATAACCATACAAATTTGCATACTAAGAATCTCTTTCTTTTAGAATTCTTTTCTTACAAGTCAAACTTACCTATTAAAAATTTTCTTTTTTTTTAGAATTTTTTTTTGCAAGTTTTTTTGTCTATCAAATAATATCTGATCAATCTAAAAAAATCTCTAACAAATTCCAAACAAATCTCTTATGAGATTTGAGTCATTAGTCTTAACAATTTTGTGAATGGACTTGACACGGGAAAAAACACAAAAGTTGGTACATATGGTTTTTTAACATAGATCTGACCTATTTCTGGTTGTCTATTTTCTTACTGTTATGGATATTATTAGGCTCCAATAATGAGAGTTGGTCTGATAGATGATCGCTTTCTCCAAGCGATTATTTTTATCTGTTAGGGATAGTACCTTCTTTGAAAGCTGTGGAATTGGCGATGTAATCACAAACATGCTGTAAGAATGCAGATATCTTCATACCTTCTATTTGAGAAAATTAATATACTTTGATAATAAAACCATGCCATTTGTGGCAGTTGGGGGAAGAACAGAAAAGTTGCTGAGGCATTTGCTTAGAATGGAGGAAAAAGGTTAGCCATAAACATTTGGTACACAAGCTTTACCGGGATATAAAGCAAATTGTGACCTTATTGTTTCTCGACTACAGATCATTTGATGAGCTTGAGGCTGAGATGTTGCATGGCCAGAAATTACAGGTAGATCTTAAACAAGGAAAGTATGGTCTTCGGAATAATGAACAGATAGAAAAAGTTGAAGTTCTCTAGCAGTATTAAAAGATGCTTTTGAATATATCTAGTTTGTTGGTTCTGAATTAATCTCTTATCTGAGATTCTTCTCTTATACTTTAGGGTGTATCCACGGCAAGAGAAGTCTGTGAAGTTTTAAGCCTCTGCGGGTGGCTGGAGTTGTTTCCTCTATTTGCAACAGTGCACGAGATCTGTATTGGTCGTCTTCCACCATCAGCCATAGTTGAATACAGAATGAAGAGACCAACGTTATCCCTGTTAGAGGACTCTGCCTGTTACCATTGACTTAACTGTGGATAAGAATAAAATCTTACATTTCAGTTTACAGAAGTAGCTTTCTTCATTTGCTCATCAGTCAGAAAGTATAGAATTCAAGCAAATTGTCGTGCCCATGACAACAAAACCGGTTCGGGTTCTAGGGTTTAAATTCAGCATGGTAGGTAGGAAGCTTCTGAGTTACCTGTAGAAGGCTTTTTGACAATTCTTGAAATGAAGGTTCCAAAGTCAGGTTTCTTTTCCGCTGGTTGTTCTCTTAAGATGGTTAGATAAATACGGTTAGTGCCATGTAGCCTGCATAATAATCTGCTAGTTTTGAAACACCTCAATGAAATACATAGTTTAGTATGAAAAAAGTTGAATAACCTTTTGCTCATGAAAGTGTCACTAACCTTCTCACTCAAATTTGGTTGGTTTACCGTATCCTCATTGCAGCTTTCATCTACATCCTTTCTCCTGTTGGTAGAATGGAACTTAGGACTTCAAGTCATGGTTAAAGATTACAATGAACTTCAAGTCATAAATCTTTTGGTTTCAATAATTTGCTTATGCAGAAAAGCATTCGGGTGTAGATACGGTGGCCAGGACAGGGAAAACTAGCTTGCATTTACGAGATGGATGTAATAACAATAGTTGAAAAGGGGTCAGCGCCATAGCCAACCATAGAGTTGCAGTATAACACCAAAGCCATGTTTCATGCCACAGTATTATGAAAAGATATAGGACAAACCAACTACACAGCCCCAAACACCATAACAATAAATTAAAAAGAAGAAAACCAAAATTAATTCCTCACAACACCAAACACTTGCATGCATTTTTGTTTTTACATGAAAGTATTAACCTGTTCGTATTCTATCCAACCGATCAACACTTTTCCGAGCTCTTTCCAACTGATGATCAATGCTTTTCCGGGACTTCTCATGGCAATCCACACTCCTCCGAGACCTTTCCAATTGATCCAAAGAGATTCTTAATTTTTCTAGCTTATCCACATTATTAGACTGGTTTTTCAACTTCTCAGGCCTGTCAGTGCTCTTCCTTGGTTTCTCTCTTCGATCAGTACTCTTCCTTGAAACTTCAAACACATCTGTACTTTTCCGAGCCTGCTCATATTGGTCCGTGCTTCTCCTAGAACTGTATCTTTGTGATGGAGATTTCTCAACGGTTGATATGAACTTCTTGAGATGCCTGATATACTCAGGGTAGTGCTCTAGATCACAGTGGTTTCCTCCTTTAAGCCACAGTGGTTCATACTTCTCTTTGCACAGTTCCCATAGTTGCTTACCATGAGAGCAATCCACAACTTCATCTGAAGTTCCCTACACAATGATATAAAAGACTAGTCTCAAAAGCTATAATTGGCTGTATAAGAAATCATTTTCACCTAACTTTTTTTGGGGTAAATTGCGAACAACCTTCCAGACAGTTAGATAGGTACAGGAAACCTTATAGTATATTTAAATACCAATGATCGTTATTACATCCATCTTGTCAATGCAAGCTAGTTTTCCTGTTCTGGTCATTGAACTAAGAATCCAGCACTCAATCAACAGACTACAAGGCTGTTGGCATACTATTTTATATTTTAAAAAGAAAAATCAAACAAGACAAAACCTTATATGGCAGAGACATACAGTAAAATTCAACAATGTCAACATACAGCATGATTTTCAAAACCAAATATCAAGCGTAGTAATCGGGGTTAGCCATCAATGGGGTCCATATAAGCCACTTTTCACATCAAAATTCTTCTCAATGATCCTCCCTACACATGGATAATCTGCTCTAGCAGTTGCCAATCTGATTTTAGTCCCCATAAAAGCTAAGAAAATCATGTGAGGTTATTATCTTTTTCTTCTTTCAAGGTACCAAAACCAGAACTGTTGGGTATTCATTGTTTCCCATAGGTGTTCAATGACTATCTGAAGAATAAACTAATATTGAAATACTAAGTAAATCATTTATAAACAATGGTTCAATCATGCTCCTCTAGCAAAAATAATTCCACCTCACTTGAGAAGATGAAAGGGTGTTTTTGAAGCAAGAATTCTTAGTTGCAAGGACTGCAATTAATTTGCTTTGGCTGGACTGCCCGTCCTCCAGAACCAGCGGTTATTGACCCACTGGCATGACAGCTATCATTTTGTTTGTACTTGAGACACTTGCATGGGCCGAAGTACAATGCAGATCTAGGTTTTACAGACTTGATTGAAAGAATTGGACCTTCAAAAGAAACTCCTTAAGCAAGAAACTGATGATAAGGTGTGATGGTATGTGAATTAACATTGAAGGAAAACCTGGAAATTCATTGATAACCCCCCTAATTATTTTTAGACTTGCTGGTTAAAAGCACTCATCTTCGTTGAATCCATAATTGGTTTTGCAAAATTTTTGGTAAGAACAAACAAGTTCTTACAACAGATCAAAAGAAAATGTAGGAAATGTAAATACTTACATGAATGATAAGAACAGGACAATTGACAAGTGGAATTTTATCGATATTCTGCACACAAACAGCCCAAGAAAGAACACATTATATTTGCAATATTCACACAAATAAATCCTATTAGCAGAATAAGTTGAATGAGCAAACTGATAAATCTTTCTCTTACCTTATAAATGTCAAACCAATATGTACGCTTTACAGGATACATAACTCTTAAGCCAGAAAGTATGGGACTATGCAGAACAACAGCTCTTAACTGAGGCAGCCGAGCTGCTAGATCCAAAGTGGGACCACTACCAACAGATTGGCCATAGAGGATGATATCTTCCTGTTTTGTACCATAGATTTCTTCAAGACATTTATATGCAGCTTCAATATCTGCATATGTATTCTGCTCACTTGGCTGTGACACAAGAAAGATATGGGCTTTAGACAATCCTATCAGCTCCACAATTACAGCCATATCTTTTACAGAAAGATAACTTTCTCTTCCTTTCCTTTTCAAACAATATCAAGTTTGTTTATATACCTTTCCAGAAGATTGCCCATACCCAGAATAGTCATAGCTGCACGATATCACATAAAATCTATAAGAAAACTGTAAACTTTAATTTCTTTAATGAGTTGCTAAACTAAATTTTCTTCTATGGATAAAAAATGAATAAAGGTCATTCCAAGACAACAATCATGATTCCTAGAGAAATGAACAAACAACACCATCATTCTCTCTTTGGCACGGTGATAACAACTGGCAGTAGAAAATAAAATATGCTACTGCTAAACAGAAACATGAAATCATTAATTGGCAGCTGGTGCTTCAGTCACAAAACAAATTACTAGGTTCTTCGCTGCTGCTGCAGTAACAACAAAAAACTATCAGGTTAAAATAACCTAGTGCTTAGCTCAAATGGTTCACCCACCTTAGGTGGTTTTCAGCAAGGCTAAGGTTCGATCCCAGCACTTGCAAATTCCCCTTCCCCAATTTCCCTTAGGCCTTGGCCTCCTATGTACCAAAAAAAAGTTATCAGGTTAAACCAGTAATCTCATGATAATAAGTATCAACTAGAACAAGACTAACCGCTGAATAAGCCATAATCCGTACATTTCTCACATAAACTTGGTACAAGCAAATCAATTTGCCCACAATCACACTGTTTAAGGGACCAGTAAAACTTGCACCAAGCACATCTCTATTTCCAGGAAATATCCATTTCTTGTATATGCAATCAACTTAAAAACTAAATATAGCTAAACAAACACAAATACCCAGATGACAAGAACCAACAAAAACATCAAGGAAACAGCAAAACGAATCACAAATCTGAAAACCCAGATGCCAAAAAAAACCACAATTTTTACACAAAAAAAAAGCAAAAAAGGCATCTGAAAACAGAGTATACCCCATTAGATTGACCCTCAAGTGGATGCTCAATTCAATGAAAAGCTCATACATCTGACCCAGATCGGCAGCGTTTCCATGAGAGTAAAGCAAAGTGGAAGTAGCCATAGGGTGCCTGATGTAAATAGCTACAATCTCCGTGCCACGCCGAGTTGGAAGCTTTAGAACCTCAACGTTTTCTCTATGAGGAAAAGGGCTTAGAAGCAAAAGACCAGTAAGTTCATCAGTGACAAGCTTGTATGAAGGTGGGTTTGGTGGGAAAAAAGCAAACTTTGCCGCCATTGAAGACGTTACTCCTCCCATCTCTGCTTTTTTTTTTGTCTCTGTTTTTTGCTCTGTTTTCAGTCTTTTCTTGTTTTGTTGGTTTTGGTCAGGTGGATTCGGAATTGATGCAGACAGACATTCCTTTCCCTTCTCTTTCTTTCTTTTGCTTTTGCTTTTACTTATTCTTTTCTCCAGAAGATCAAACCTTTTCCAGAGAGAAAGAAAGAGAAGATTTTGTTCATTGTAGTGGCCATTAAGAGTACTTAAGATAGAGAAAGTGATGAGAGGGAAGCTTTGCTTTGTTGGGTCATAAAAATTGAAACTTTTGCTTTTGTAGTATAATTTTGTTGTAGGGTCAAAGGCCTCAAGGGAAATGGACAGCAAAATTTGGTGGCAAAAAAGGGCAAAGGGAAATGACTACAAATATACCTACCAATCCCATGAGCTCCCATGTGGATAAAGTTGATTCATTGAACCATTAAAACTTTGATTACAATCAAAACCTTATGTTAAGATTGCATTTGAAGGTGATTTTTGATTAATATCTCCTTCTTAAAGTCTGCAAGTGGAGTTGAGTTATTTGGGTTGCTTTTGTTTATAATCTTACAAAGGAAAATAGTCCAAATTTTTTTTTCTTTTGAGAGTTTGATTGACACCCAAAAGAAGGAAAATCCCAAGCTAAAAGGAGAAAAAGCCTAGAGCATTAAGGATTTTTGGACAAGAAAATGTCTGTTTTCCTTCCAACTTCACAGTTTGAACCTAAATGGAAATCATGGTGAGAGTGATGTATATGAACAAATTGGAATGGGACCAATTTCTTAGAACTTCCAAAACTAGCATACCTAACATGCCACTGTCATAAAATTTGCTAGATTCCCTGTTTAAGTAATAGTAGTTGGTCCAAATGGAGTAGTAGTTTGAATGTTCAAGGTGGGGTAGCAGAACATGTTTTAGCCACATTTAAGCAAAAAGAAGTGCAGAAAGGTCTACACCTTTTAAACCCACTAATGCTTATATTACTGGCCTGGTGAAAATGGAAATCTGATTACTTGAATTTTTCTATGCAAAGTAGGGAAATTTCACATGTCATCAAGCTCTTTTCTGCTTAAATGGAGGACAGAAATGCATATTGATAGAAAAATACATTTTAACAGATTGGTCTCCAATTTTTTTCTTTTGCATTGCTTCAATCCCTATGTGTCTTGAAACCAGCACTAAATAATGCTTAGCACGTGCAAGCCTCAAATAACAACCCTAGCTCCAAGGGTGGATCAAAAACTTGGGTACCATGAAAAAAGTAGTGACCTCAACCCTGGAAATGAATCATGATGTTGCAGGGGAAAAAATGGCAGGACATGGTGCTTTTTCAAGCACTTTAACCCTCTGTGAAAGTACCAACTTTGAGATTACCATTAGAAAGGGCTATTGAAAACCAACACGGCAAAATACAAAGCATGGGATGATTTGATTTGATATCAAGCTCATAATGAACCTGGTATGGAAATCTTTTCTATTGATCTGAGATCCCAAGACAGATGCTAATTTGGTCAAAACTCAAAACTAATCATGTTGGATTTCTGGTCTAGAAATGCTGCAAGTAGGGCCAATGTAGTGGGAGGCCTTGCCCTCCAAAAGACAAGTGCAACAGATTAACCACTATCCTCAGGGACCCAAATTTCAGGACTAAGCTTGGGACCAAGGTCACAAAAGAGGCAACCCCTAATTTTGTGGGGGAGAAAATGACTTAATAACAACTGATATGTAATCAAAAGGATAATGAGAGATGAGACCAATGAAAAGAATAAAGGGATGTTTTTGTCATTATGGGGTCCATAATATTAAAGCAAATGCAAAGATAAGGAAGTAGTGGGCCGCCGGGGTCTTATTCATCTTCAACTCCATCTCCTTGTTATTGTGATGGGATGATGAGACATGTCTGTAGCAGAGAAGTTTGAAACCATGAATCGAGTTCCAATTTAACTTATATATTTGGATGGTTCCCAACTTTCCTGTGGTTCTAGTTTCAGAAAACTAATAATTGTAAATTCATATACCATCTGAGAAATGTACACGAAGTACAGATTGGGAGGCTGTGGGAAAGTAATTTCTCATAAATTCGCTAGGCCGGCATAGATAAGCCTGCTTGGACCGATACCAAGAGAGGATAAACTGACCAAAGCCCAGGAACCCTTTACAGCTTAAAGAAGAAAAAAGATGTTAATGATCTAATACGAGGCAGAAGAGTGCAGATTTCAAAGTTTATATGGAGGAGCATCAATGATTTTAGGGAAGCAGAAGGTAATGTGGTGCTGACTAGAACTAAGCAAGTAAGCATTGGAGTGATTTGAATTGATCAATTATAAGAGATGCTGCCCACTTTATTAAGAACAGTGGGACACAAAGAAAAGAAGAAAATCATAAATGCACAAATACATACACACATGTATAGACAGAAAGTCACAAATGCACCTCCAAAAGCCCTGAAAGAGGTTGAAATGATACATCTGTATCATGTTCAATCAAGCTCAACTTCCATAAGAAAAATGCTCTACACCTCAAGCCTCATTTTCAGTGTTTTCTTGATCAGCTGATGATCCTACAACTGCTTTTACCAAAGATATTTTCCCATACTGTCAACTTAAAATTAACCATTTGCTCAATGTTGTAGACAGAAAACCAGATTTGATTGAAAAAGAAGATAGAAATTGACCATTGTAGTTGTTTCCTTGCAGGATCATCACTAATCTTGGAACCTGCAATTGAGGAGGTAATTTTATATCTGACATTACAGTCTGTTGTTTAATTGGCTCACTTCATGTGATATTATGATGGGGATTTGAACTTACTGAACCCAAGAAAAGGTACATTCTTCTAAAGAAATGCAGAATGAAAAGCAAAGCAAAAGGAGTTTCCAAAGTATTACACTCAAATAAACTTTGCCCTTTATAATATCATATCAGATCCTAGATAACATCACATCAATGAGGAAATCAAATATAATTTGTTTATTGAAAAAATATCTATGGGTTGCCAACATAGTGGCCATTGGCATTACATGTCAAGCACAAACCTTAACAGGCCAAGTGAAAATTTATATGAGAAAATTAAATTTTGAATCCCGTAGGAACATCCATTATTTATTTAGTGGCAATAGTAGAAGGAAAAACAGTGATGAAGGCCTGATCGCAGCTTAAAACAGTGAGCCTGGAATGCCTTGCTCATCATGGCAGCAGAGGAAAGTGGTGTATTTCTCCATGATGCGGCGGCACTCAGGGCACCTCATGCTCTCTGGGATCCTTGTGGTAGTAGGGAACTCAAAACGGCAGCAAGGGTGGGCAACATCATGAAGCCTGTCATGGTACTCCTTGAATGCCAAATCAAAACCTTTATCTGCCACATTAATCTTCCATTCAGCATAACCACCCAAAGCAGGCAAAACTGTGGTGGAATGGCCATTCACAACTATGTTAGACCCTTTGCTAAGCACTGCCCATCCACCTTCTCTGTCATAGCTAAGCAGCTTCTTGATTTGTTGCATCATTGGATCATGGTCATCAGCCCTGCCTAACTGAATCTTGGAAAATAGCATACTCTCTAATCTGGTCCAGAAGAACCACACCATTGTTTGGTCTTGCCAGGCATAGCTAAGCTTCTCCACATTGATAATTCCTGTCACTTTCTTGACTTGCTCCCTTTTCGTGCTTTTCCCCACATAGACCATCTCTAGAGGAATCCCAGATGCAGATGCAACACTGCGTGCTGAGGCTGCAAATCTTCTGATCCACTCAACATCGTCCCCTCCATACAAGAAAATGTATTTATCCTCTTTAATCTGGTAAAATTAAGCAGAATAAATGCATGTAGTTGTAGTAAAAGTAAACATCTAAGTACTATTATTTCTGACAACTTAATGAAAAAAAATGGTTAAATTTGAACTTTGAATATATATACGTACCCAATTGAGGATCAATGGGTCAATGCCATCAACCAGTAGATCAAGCCTCCATGTCTCTTCCCTCCAGAGAGCTTCTTCTCTCAAACTAGTGAAGGGGAATGCATTGCTTCCCCAAATCCACATCATGTGGATTGCATTAGGGGAAACCACTTTCCCTAGAGGGTCTAGCACCACAAGGATTGGCTTGGTCCTGAAGTGCCAAACCTCCTTGAGGAACCTGATGACTGGCTTCTCTATGAGCAGAGGGTCCTCCACCGAGTACCATGGCATGGTGCTTCGTAGGGTCTCAAATTTGGTTCGCGTTTCATCAGTCAATGGGACAACCGAGCGGTCCACAACTGGGATCCAAACAACCTCATATTGACTCTCTAGCCTTGTTGCATGGATTCTGGAGTCACTGTATATCTGCTCAAGAATCGCAAGCTCATCACCAGAGAAATCCAGGCTTGAAATAAGCAAGAGCACACTTTTCCTTCTCAGCACGTCCAGGCCAACCTGTGCAATATCCCACAACAAAATTTTGAAATATGTCCTACATTAAGTGCCGGTTAATAAAGATTGAGTGAGAAACTGAGATAATTTTGGTAAGAGAGCCGTACCTGTCCCTTTGTAGCACCATCAAGAAGGGGTAGTTTCTCATCCCTGGCTTGAATCAAGGCCTTGAGAATTTTAATGTTGTCAATGTGCATCACGTTTGGATCAAAGAGATTCAGTAGCATCTGGTAAGTCTCAACATCTTTCCTTTCCTCTGCAATTAAACAATGATCAAATAATATCCATGAGTATTTTCAATCAAATTTTCAGCTGTTTCATTATCTAACAGCATCTGCTTCCCGTGACAATATTTTATGGGGCTAGTCGCTAACCTATAAATTGGTAGCAAAAATTCAGCTGCTGCCTTAGATGTTCATATATGTTTCTGAGTTTGTGAGCCAATGTGGACAACTCCCACGACTCTGAGGTTGATATTCCATACCTGAAATCAATGCAAATTATTAATCCAACTATTTTTATCCTTCCAAAGTCATGGCCCGTATAATTAGGTTTTGCATAAAAGATTATCAAGAAAAACATACTCATGACCCATGCTAGAGAGGCTAGTAATTTGAGTTGCACAAGCCACCATGCTCCTGATGGTCCAGTAGACAGCAGTCGGGATATGGGTCATGGCAGTGGCCAATGCCGGAACATCCTGTGAAATGTACATTGATGGGAGCTCTTTGAACTCAACGACACATCTAGTCACATCCATCATTGTCCGAATCAAATTGTTGAGTGCATCAAACCGGGGTTTCAGAGGAGCTGTGTGCTCCAGGATTGATGGCAGTTGCCTCAGGATTGCCATTGACTTGGCAAGTTGGTTTGTTGAGTAAATCTGAGCAAGAAGCCAGAATTCTCCATAGTTCAAGGCAAAGGCTGATAGGGATAGCACTAGCTTTGCTTCCCATGTATAGCTTGATAGCAAGGTGAATATTGCAGTTGTTGTTGCGTGTGCATCCGAACCTCCCAAAGCCTTGTAGGATAGCTGGTAGTTAAAAATGTATGAAACGTCGAGATGTTAATATGTATGAAGAACGGATATGCCATGATTGTACTAATTATATTTTCAGTTTATCAAAATAAAACTGAGAGAGAGAGAGAGAATTTTATGTTTTTAATTCGCAAACCTCGCATGCAATTCGATCAATGGTATATGTAAGAGCTTGAAGCATAGCTATATAATTTGCTTGCTGAGCTTTTTCTTCCAGTTCAATTTGACCTAGAGTACCCTGCAGTAAACATCAGGAAGGTGAGCATTTTCAGCCACTCGTTTAACAGGATAAATGCAGCATATGTTATACCTTGACAATGAAATCAACATGCTGGGTGGCGCGATTGAGGATGTCCTCAACCAGATAGAGGAGAGGTCTAACATCAAATTCTCGGCCATCAGGGGCATGGGTTGTCAAAATTTGCTTCATCATCACATTGTCATCTGACATGCTTAACATGCCCCCACGGTCACCTCTGATGAGTGCTTGAGTTGCACTAGGACTCTTCATGAGTGCCTCAGCAGTACTAGGTTTGCTGATTAATGCCTGATTAGCACCAGGAATGCTAATGTTTGGCTGACCGGCTCCAGGATTGCTGATGAGTTGCTGACCAACACCAGGGTTGTTGAGGAGTGCCCGAGCAGCAACACCAGGATTATTGACGAGTGCTTGAGCTGCACCAAGGTTTTGGAGAAGTGCCTGAGCAGCAGCAGTAGCGGGTTTGTCAGTGACTCCAGTCATTGGTGGCTGAAGAGGACCAGGGGTTGTCTTCTGAGCCATTGGAGAATATTACAGAAAAACAAAGGCAAGAAGAAAACTTGGGTTTTGGTTGCAGAAGAGAGGAGAAGATGGCTTGTGTCTTTGTTACCATGAGACAAGCCTATTTATAGCCATTGCAGAAGGAATAAAGCTACTTGAATCAACTTCCTTGCTTCCTATCGAATTAAATTGTTGAATCATTAACAAGATGCCTATTACTTTAAGTGGTCCTCCTGTCCCACCTCCTCTCACTTTATTACGGTTTGTCTGGGACCCAGCTGCAGTTTTTAACATGGTTAATTGATCTTGATGTAGCTTAAGACTCTCTGACAGGAATTCGATAGGACACACTTGGCTCGTTAAGTTCCAGGTTCTTGAATGAAATTCTAGAGATATAAAAGTCAGGCCAGAAACCAGAAAAAAACTGCACTCATCGGTGCAAGTACCGGGATTTGAATTTCAGAACTGCTGCTACCTCTAAAAATGATGAACCACTGAGTTAAGCTCCGGGTTCTAACATGCCAACAGTAAACAAAGTAATTAGTAAAGATTAAAAGCTTATGAAAACATGGTCCTGCGGAGAGAATATACAGTATCACAATTCACAAGCTTCAAATAATCCTGGCCGTCAAACAAAAATGAAACGAGAAACATGCCGATATGCCTGTCATGGAGACCCGTATCCGTATTATTTGTTTTAATTTGAAATTTTCATATTTTTATCTCATAAAAAACGTTTCACAATTTTATTTTATATATATATATATATATATATATATATATCATAGCACATCTCAAAACATGATGTTAGATTAGGACATTATAAACTCCTTCCGTTAAAACTAAAACTTGACGTCTCCGTCAAGCCCAACATAAAGCATATAGATCCATTGAATCATATCAAATATTGGATAAGTTCAACACAAAGTATATACAGATCACAAGATCACACAGATGTTGGGATTTTAAAGATGACTTTCATCGTATAGCACTTAGCTTCTGTCTGATTGATGATCTCTTTGATACCACTTAATCTGTCTCGCCCAAAACTGAGGCATAACAAAGGCTGCACACTTGCAAAATGTGATCATACAGATATGCAAGGCCAGAAATATACCAAGACTTATAAATATGTATGAGACAAACATGACTGAAAACAAAAAGTTCATAACATTTAGTATCTTTTAACACGAAAACGAAATACTTAAAAAGTCATAAATCCTGAAATATGTAGTTAAAGTCATAAACAATTAATTATAAAAGTTTATGTCTAAGTATATAAGAGAATCCTAAAAATCCTATAATAACAACTAAAATTTTGAAACATCACTCATTGAGATTCTTGCAAGCATAATTAAAATCAGAACCTATAAAAAAAATTAAAGAAATGAATAAGTACAATCACTCAATAAGCAACCCGCATTTCCTCAATTGAATTAAGCATGCCATAAAATATTTACGCCAAAATATAACTAAATGATTCGAAACTATTTTAGATAATTTTGTATTCAAACACATTTCCATAAACCATATCCCAAAATCAAAATTTTAGATTTCAAGATAAAATAAAACATCACAAAATCATAAAGTTTATTAATCTCCTTTAACATACTATGACTATACTTAACTCTTGTGATATACGTCAGAATCATAATTTTCTTTTTAGTGCAATGGAACAAAGTTATATCAAAAGCAACTGGATAGTTACACTGAACAATTATAATTCACCTATTAGTGCAATGGGACGAACAAAGATCATAAAAACCCTTTTAGTGCAATGGGACAAGCAACCTTTTTAGTACAATGAGACAGAAGTATATCACCAATGGTACGGTAAACAAAAATCATTATTCTCAACTTGTGATATGGTCCGAAACCGGTATCAATATCACAAAATACATGTCGATATGGTCAACAATTAATCCCCATTGGCAAGGTCAGAACATAATCATAAGACAAAACCAAAATATATTTTCATATTACCTAATAGAGATAAAATCAATATTCATAAACCTTCTCAAAAACATAATTCATACAAAATCATTTTCATAACTACTCCAAAGCAAAATTTCATATTCTGACAATCAATGAGTATATAAATATATATTGATACGAAATCATATTCGAAAATTAAAATAATATCAAATCATATTTCAAACTTTTAATAAAGAAATCATATATATATATATATATTTGCATGCTTAACTTGATTTACAAAATAATATATATTATATATTTTAACTCTAAATATATTGAGGTTGATTTTTAAAAATATAAAAAATGAAGAGACGTCAAGTTACTTACCATTTATGGAGACTCAAATACAACATGTGAGATATTGTTCATTTTGATCTAAAATTTTTATAATTTTATTTTACAAAAAATGTCTCACAGCTTTAAATTTAAACTTCTACGTATATATTATAATGGACTGCCGAAACATCCCAATGTAGAATGGGGATGAGACAACTGTGCTTTACTTCCTTACTTCACTCTGGTTGTTACGTGTACCCATGATTAAGAATTTTTTTTCTCCTGTCACAACAAAGAGTGACATGAAGAAAAGTGTAAAAGATTTGATTCTTTGCTTTTCTAAGGTAAGCTGAATAAAACTGTGATTTAACAGCCGAGCAAATCCAACATCGTTTGTAAGATTTCATTTTGCTTTTATAAATTGGCTGGGAAAAATTTATGTCATGGTTTTAATTTCCTTTCTACTCACAACCAATAAACTGAGCAACTGGCTTCATCTTAACTGCTCCTAAAGGAGTTCCATTACTTTTCTCAAAGCATCATTGCTTCCCTGGTTACAGTAGGTCCCTGCATTGAACCTTGATACTTGAATTGGAAAGTTCAAAATTTAACCAATACTACACCAATTAAAGTCTAGTTTTATCTTTTCTTTTGATATATTCAAGCATGTGAAGCTCAAGTATCTTAGAATTATTATAAACTAAATGAAATTGGAAGGCATAGTATATGAAGATTCAGCTCTTGATAATTTCTCAGCATCATTTGAAAGTGTGAAGTTGACATTTCTACCTTTCAACCATTGTTTGCTAATTACCCTTACAATGTAAGGATTTTGTGAAAAAAAAACCTGAACTCAATTCAACGAGACCATTAGAAATAAAAAGTACAAGTTTAGTGTCATTTGGCATGTCTTCAGTTAAAACTAGACTCTTTAAGGGTCAATTATCCACCTAAATTTGAAAATCGTTTAAATTTTGAAGGAATTTAAATAAAAAATTAAAATCAATTAAATGAGTTTGACATAATTTTTAGATTTACTTAAATTTTAAGTCAAGTCTTAAACAAAATATTTAAAATTTGAGCCCAACTCAACTTAACCTAAATTATTTTTATATATATGTGAGTTATATATAAATTAATTCATATTATATATATATATATAAATTAAAAATAATATTTATATATTTTATTAATCTTAATTTTTAAATTTATGTATATAATTTTTATTTTTAATTTTATGTATATGTGAGTTAAATAAAATTTTATTAAATTTAATTTAATCATTTTTTTAATTTTTTTATTATATAAATTAAGTTTAATTGGTGAGTTTGAGATTTAATCTTTTAATTTGTGTCAGACTTTGAAAAAAAATTTTGACACCTAAAATTTTGAGTCAATCAAATCTGGACAAATATATAAAATTTTAATACCAAACGTGAACCTAATCCTGTGACATTCCGAATCTTATATTGCAAAAATATGTAAATATGATATAATATATATGTAAAAATTTAAATATAAATCTTGAGTCATATTTTGTGAAATAAAATCATAAAGTTTTCATATCAAAACGGATAATACCTGGTAGGTTTAGTGCAGGTTTTCACAAATGATATCAAAGCGATCACAAATTAATAGAAACTAAGTACTACATCATGAGAATTATTAAATGCTACATAGCAGGGTCATGGAAGTCATTAAGTACTATAAGATAAGAAACCACCTCTAGAATCTCAGCTTAGTTTTATTGTTGGACTCGATTTGATGGAGATGTCATATTTTAAAAGCGGTATAATATATATGTAAAATTTTAAATCTAAACTTATGATGTATCTTTTGTAAAATAAAATTGTACGACTTTTAGATCAAAGTGAATAATATCTCATAAATTAAATATGAATCTCCGTAAATCTAATATGTCTCATGAACAACTCTAGCTAAAACCAACAAGTAACACATACAGTACTTAACCCAACCATAAACACTTAAAAATAAATTCCTAGACAACTACAGTCTACAGACATGGAGCATAGAATTAGAGTGCTATCAAATGCAAAATCAATAAGTTCAAACTCTGTTACAAAATCAATAACAGGAGAAGAATCATGTTTTTGAACAGAAGAGAGGAGGAAGTTTGTGGATTTGCTGCAATGGATGGGTGCGCCATGGCTTGGGTTTTGAGTGGATAGGGAGCATAAGTTTTTCGGGACTTGAAACTTGTTCCAGGTTTTCCTGAGTTGGACCTTCCATTGCTAAACAGATTCATTGCAGAAAAGCTGGCTTATTTGTGGTTGTTAAGATATCCACTAGGCCCCACAAAACTTGGGTCTAAAAGGGACCATGTTGGGCTCTTTATAGGATTGTTTTTCAGTCCTACTAATTAATTTTTTATTTGATAATTGATTTAATTTGAGAAGACAAACTTTTAAAGTTGATAACTAATTATCAAATTGTACTATTAAATTATGGATTTGATTTGTATATATTAATTTATATAAATCGAGTCCTTTTATTTTTATTAGTTGTAAATTTCAGTGTAATCATTAATAAAGTTAAATTTGCACAATTAACTTGCTAATGTGATTATTGACATTTTTCATGTGATATTTGATTAAAAAAATTAAAATTTTCAAACAATTTTAAAATTAAAAAAATATAACCTGTCATTTTTTTGTGACATGGCTAATTTTCGTGTTTAGTATAAAAATCTAAATAAAAATTTTATAATTTTTAAAAGTAAAAGGATTGAATTATACAGATTAATGTATAGAAATTAAATTCATAATTTTTACGAGCAAAGCGATTATTATATATTTTGGTCTAATTAATTCACATGGTAAATGATTAAGCCAAG